AATACATGGTATAATAGTTAGTAACTTAATATTATTTTGGAAACTACAATTAGTATTGGAAAAGGGGAAACGGATTATTCATATTCTTGAACCACTCTTAAAATTTAGATTCAATTTTCAAATGAGTTACTAAACACATTCAGAAGCAACAAGAATACAACTTAATAGATCTAAACTCTAAATTTTTTTAAAGAAAATATCTTATATATTAGAGACTTATTAGACTGTATCATATACTTTTTAAAGTTTAAAAATATATTAAACATTCGGCTAATGAACCACTAAAATGAATATTTAACCAAATATATAAGATGTCCGTCCGTTAAGTTTCCGTTACTGTTTGCGCCGATCAACTTCGGCTGGCTGAGCTGGCGGGCGCCTCTTTTTTATTTATATTTATATTTATTTATTTATTTTTGTCGAACACGGTATAGGCAAATACTGGCTTCATATAAAAGGCGGAGACAAAATAGGACTTCCATTCCTCTGTTCTTACTTTTTTTTTTCTTTTTTGTAGGAAAATTTTCTCTCCTTTTTCTCAATCTTTCCTTTAGATCCAATTTTTTTCTTCTTTAGTTTGGTTTTTGATTTAGATTTCCGAGGAAGGCTGTGTTCCAGGTTCGTTTCTCCACGCTCCTCGTTTTTTCCGATCGATTTATTTCATGTATTTCGCTTTTGGATTGGAATTGTCACGATCTGTACCCTAGATTGGAATTATCTCTCTGTATCTAGAGATTGTGGAATTATTTGATTTCTTCCTCGATTTGGTAATTATTTGCACGTTTTGTGGAATCTATGTGATTTCTGATTGTATAATTGGTTGCCTGGAATATTGTTGGAATGGGAACGGTAAGTATTTGTTGATGTGATGATTTGGTGAGAATTTTCGAAATGTCGGGATTTTGTCAAGTTTTTTTCCCTGGCCATTTCGTTGCTATGTTCCAGATTCCTTTCTTTCTTTCAGATATTTTTTGGATTATAGCTGTTTTATCCTTCGATTACGTTAGTATTTGCGTGTAGAAAGAAATCTCTATGATGTCAGGCAATTTGCGATGAATTTCTGGGGATCGGAAGTTCGGAACCATATAATTTTTTACTGAGATGATTTGGTCGAAATTTTAGAAAATCACGATAGCTCTTCTCTCATCAGAGTTCGCTTCTGAATGTAACAACAGACCTCGTACCCTTTTACCTGCTTCAGCCCCTGTCTCCTTATAACTGGTGCGCTTCTCTCTCTTGTTTGTGCACCCACTCCTCGGTCAACAGTGCACCGCATCCACCATGCTTCATCGCGTTTTAAAGTCTTGGAAAGGAGTTACCATGAGCATGCACAATTTGCATGTTCAGCATCGAGGAAAAGTTATTTTCTTTTTATTTTGAAAAAGGGGGAAAAGGAAGGAATATTTGTTCTATCAGAAAATAATTTTTTTTTCCCTTTTACTAAGTTTTTATAACCCAAGATTGTTCTTGGTTAGCAGACTATACTAGATGACCATGTAAATACTTCACATAAAAAGTTTTTAAGATGAACTCAGTGCGGGAATGGTTTCATTTGGATTGTGAAGGCACTAACAAGAGATGTGTTTTGCAAAACTTGCAAACTTTTACCCTCAAGGAGAAACGCCAGTATTATCATTCCCGAGCGAGAAGATTGGACTGGTTATAAACATTTCTTGTCCCTTTGGACTTTAGGTTGTTTTGTTGGGCTGTTTAATGAAAGCTTCTTGTTCCATATAAAATAGAAGTTTTTTTTTTGGGTGATAATGTTGTACGTCATGTGTCTTTTATTGTTGCAAGTTAGAGAATTGATTGAAGCAAATTGTGATTTGTTTGATGAACTATGACTACAATTAACCTCTGTAATTATTAATTATTCTGGAATCCGTTGTATTTCTATTCCAGGTTGTCAATAGAATCTTGTTATATCTACTAAAAGGACTAAGGGAGTTTCATTGAATTACTGAAATAGATACAATTATTTGCAGGGTATTTGAAATAGGTCAAGATGTTAGAGCAATTGTTGATATTCACCAGGGGAGGTTTGATTCTATGGACGTGTAAAGAGCTTGGAAATGCACTTAGAGGATCGCCTATTGACACTCTAATTAGATCCTGTCTTTTGGAGGAACGTTCTGGTGCAGCATCATATAATTATGATGCTCCAGGTGCTGCTTACACCCTCAAGTGGACCTTCCACAATGAACTTGGCCTTGTATTTGTTGCGGTGTATCAGCGGATCCTTCATTTATTGTACGTGGATGATTTGCTTTCAATGGTGAAGCAGCAATTTTCAGAGATTTATGATCCAAAGCGGATGGTCTATGATGATTTTGATGAAGCCTTTCGGCAACTAAGGATGGAGGCTGAGGCTCGTGCAAATGAGTTGAAAAAATCAAAGCAGGTAGGGAAGCCATTGAACAATGTTAGGAAGCAAGGGCAGGATCAAAAATCTGGATTTGGAGAAAACAAGAAAAAAAGCAACAGTGGTTTGGCAGATGATGGTGATGCGCACACTCAAGGTCATAAGTTGGAGAATGGTTACTCCAATGGGAATCATGTTGTAGAATCTAAACTGACCACTGTTGTTAATGGAAAAGAAAATGCAAGTTCCAATGTTGGGGCTTTCGATGTAAATAAACTTCAGAAGCTTAGGTCTAAAGGTGGGAAGAAAACTGATACTGTTGTTAACAAGGGCTCCAAGGAAGAGCCAAAGAAAAAGCTAACAAAGAAGAATAGAGTTTGGGACGACAAGCCTGCAGAGGCAAAATTGGACTTCACAGATCCTGTCGGTGAGAATGGGGACAACAACATCGAGGTTTTGGCAGCAGATCAAGGCCAAAGTATGATGGACAAAGAAGAGGTCTTTAGTAGTGACAGTGAGGATGAAGAAGATGAGGAAGGTAACACGGGTAGTAAGCCTGATGCAAAGAAGAAAGGATGGTTTTCATCTATGTTCCAGAGGTAAACTTTTTATTTGTTACCTGTCATTACCCCATCTTTTGTTACAAGTTTACTAAAAATACCAAAAAAAGGAAAAAAAAAATTATGGTGAACTTGGGTTTATGTAGTAGGTCAAATTATGTCATGGACCTTCAAATGCTCTAATGCATCAACCTGACATTTTTCATTAACCATTATTGTTCCACTTTATCCCCCCGCCTGCATATTTCATATTTCTTAATTGTTGGTATGTGTTTAAAATGGTTTTTAATTTCCTCTCCTTTTTTCTTTCATGTGGGTTTATTAAATTTATATTACACGTTATCTGGGCACTTATATGTTTTAGCTGGAGGGGGGATGCATTGGATTGTGGTTTTGTAGTTGAGTTCAAAACTTGTGACTTACATTTTGAGTGCGCTAAGTGTGTTTGTGTTTGTGGATTTCTGGAGATGAAAGTGGTGTCTGGGTAGTGTATCTTGTTGGTTTGTGTTTTCCATAAAGCAGGACCTTTTGCTTTTATGTTGAGGTGCCAAACCTGTATGCATAAATTGACAACCGGGAAGACCATCTGGCTGTTTATGACATGACTTATTTTGTGATTGCTTTGGCATATTACTTTGATGTGGGATTATTAATCTAATTCTCTTTTTATTTTTTGGGCGTTTTCCTGTTTCCAGTATTTCAGGTAAGGCAAGCTTGGAAAAGTCAGACCTGGAACCAGCTCTGAAGGCTCTCAAGGACAGGCTTATGACAAAGAATGTGGTATGTTTTCACACCATATTCATCTTATGATTTCTTGTTCTTAACTTTTGGTCGCAAGTTAACAGGATATTTCCTTGCTGGATTTTAGGCTGAGGAGATAGCTGAGAAACTTTGTGAATCAGTTGCTGCTAGTCTCGAGGGAAAAAAGCTAGCTTCTTTCACCAGGATTTCTTCAACAGTGCAGGTACATTTTTTAATATCCACTTGTCCATTGTTTACTCTCACCTACTTCATTGGTAGCATAATTTTGTTTGTCTAAGAACTTTGCTTTAATTTCACGTCGTAGACTGCAATGGAAGAAGCTCTTGTCCGTATATTGACTCCAAGACGCTCCATTGATATTCTGAGGGATGTGCATGCTGCAAGAGAACAAAAGAAGCCTTATGTGGTAGTTTTTGTTGGGGTCAATGGAGTTGGAAAATCTACTAATCTTGCCAAGGTCAGGCCATTTACTTTCTGCAGAAGTTTTCTTTTTACCACGTGTTTCGACATGGCTTTTGATTAGTGGATTAAATGCTTCAACTTTTGTATTCAGGTGGCTTATTGGCTTCTCCAGCATAAAGTTAGTGTCATGATGGCCGCTTGTGATACATTTAGATCTGGAGCCGTTGAGCAGCTTAGAACTCATGCTCGTAGACTACAGGTATATGACCAAACATTATTTTTCTAGTTTTCCATTAATTGAGAAGTTGTTTGAGTAAACTCATCACCTGTATTTATGCACAATCATTTTCAGATCCCTATATTTGAGAAGGGCTATGAGAAAGATCCTGCAATTGTGGCTAAAGAAGCAATCCAGGAGGCATCCCGCAATGGATCAGATGTGGTTCTTGTCGATACAGCTGGGAGAATGCAGGTTGGTCACTTTTCTTATTATCCAAAATTAAAGTGTGATTGTGTTCTTGCACAGTTTTCGGTAGAAGTTTTAATTTTTATTATGATGATAGTTTCCTAAATATTGGAGGCAAAATTATGAGTGTCAAGTATTGTTATTTCCGCTTGTCATTACTAGTTTTTACCAAAATATGTTGCAACTTTCAGGATAACGAACCACTGATGAGAGCTCTCTCAAAGCTTATCTACCTTAACAATCCGGATCTGGTCTTGTTCGTTGGGGAAGCCCTAGTCGGGAATGATGCCGTTGATCAACTTTCAAAGTTCAATCAGGTTTTGTTTCTATATCCTTGGATTTGTTATAACCTTACATATCTGCGCAGTATTAATTTTTGAGGAGATCTTATCTTCAATTTCTCTGGTTCTCTGTTACTGCAGAAACTAGCTGACCTCTCAACTTCACCCAATCCCAGATTGATTGACGGTATCTTGCTCACAAAGTTCGATACCATCGACGATAAGGTAAATAAATTCAGGACACATTCCTAGTTTATTAGGCAATCCTAATCGATCATTTTTCAGTTGATTTAACCCGATGGGGTTCGCTCTTGCAGGTTGGAGCTGCATTGTCTATGGTTTACATATCTGGTGCACCTGTGATGTTCGTTGGCTGTGGACAGTCATATACGGACTTGAAGAAACTCAATGTCAAATCGATCGTGAAAACGCTTATTAAATGAGAGGAGCTCTATGCGGGGTACAAACCTTAAAATGCCATGGTGTCCCTTAGTTGTTGTATGAATCGTGAAATGCTTCCATTTGTGTGTGTATTTGTTTGTCCCCTATGACCACCAATTCCCATATTATGATATGATACTATATATCCTAATCAGTCTCTGAACAAAGTAGTGTAATGTTATACTTTAGTTTGTTGGACTGTTGACTACTTATTTTTCTTCCCTCTCTTTTGTATTTGAGGTCCACTGCAAATTTTTAGAATATAATATAACATATTTGGTGGAATAAGTGTAATTGATCTACTACTTGCCAACGTCTCAGGACCAGATTTTGGTCTTCCTAAAATTACTATATTTGAAAGTGACTAAATTTATTTGTCATTTTTAAAGTTACTTCTATAGTTCTTTTTGAAATAGTAATTTTTGACGGGGGATTTTTTTTGAAAATTGGCAGAAGTGATTTTTTTTATGCCAAAATTACCCTTAAACTTGGAGTGGACAAAATCTTTTAGGAAAAAGAACATTAAAATATCACAAAATGAATTTGCTATGAGGGATCATTTTTTCCATTGGTACGTCATAGCAAAAGTATTAATGCAAGTAGGAAAAAAAAGTTGCATTATTGAATTTTTAATAAGCTATAGAGATTATTTTTGGAATACACCAAACTATTTTTACTTTTTATTTAAAAAAAAATTGATTAGAGCTTTAAAATCGACAACGAAATCATTGATTAACAAGCATGACTCATAAATAAAAAATAAATAAATAACGATAATCCATTTTTCTAACCACCAAATTAATCTATTCTTCTTTAGTTATACTATAATTAGATTACTAATACACTCCGTCATCGATCACGAGCTTGAAACTATAATATTCCGCAAATATTTTAAAAAATGATATTCTAAAGCAAAAAAATATTGAAAAATGATCAGTCATTCACTACAAATTCCCACGACGAAACAAATAAGAGAGAGAGGAAAATAAAAATTTTCTTCCCTATGAAGCTCAAACCTTGGAGTTTTTGGAGTAATCTTTGGTCCCAATCGGAACCACTGGCTCTGCGATCAGTTGAAATCACAAGGAAGGAGAAGTGGAGGTACTAAAATTTGCACGCCTGCAATCACAAGTACAAATGCTTCTGGATTCTTTCACTACACGCTGCGATCTCCTCGTATGAAGCTTTATATTCACCAACTTACCTGCTATCTGTCACGCGACATACCCAATTCAATCATAACATCATTCATCTACTAGACCGAAACTTTAGGAGAAACTTATTTGAGGGTACAGAAACAACGTGGCGAAAGGTTTTATACCATTGGATGATATAAGAGAGACATTAAAAATTATGTTTGAAGAGCAGCCATGTATGTAGGGACAGTTACGTTGAATAATTTTTCAAAACCAATGACCAGCTGGAAAGTTGTGGATTCTCACGGAATGGTTTGGATTTTTCCTAAACCAGCAACCAGACACTTCACTGCTTAGAATTAGAACGCTAGAGAGCTAATGAATCAATACAATAGCTTAGAGGTGCTAATGGTTGGTTTTTGGAAACATGTCAAAATGGTTTGTTAAACCCATTCGACTTAATTCGACCAAGACTGGATAATTGGCAGCACACAAATTGATATAACATGACAAGATGAAGATGAAAGTAGAGCTGAAGTTCGAGAAACTAACCATTTTCCAAGCCAAGTCTTCTGGACCCATGGGTTGAGCTGGACTGGAATAGAGGAAATGTCTTGACAACTGATGAATACCATGAGAGAAGAGAAGAAATTAGTTTTTGTGAGGAAAGCTATGAAATTACTAAATGGGGGAGAGCCAAACCCCCAGCTATGGATGTTGCGGAAAATCATTCCAATTGGCACAAAGATTGCAAAGAGTAGTAAGGAGCATAAAATTTATGCCAAGAGAGAGCTATAAAAATTACATGATCCTGAAAATAATTCAAAAAATTTTCAGTGCTATTCAAAAGCCCAGTGTTAGTTTCAGCAAGTTTAACAATGTTGGTGTATCGTCTCGTAGTTCACAAAGGCCCCCAAAAAGAAAGAACCATATATTAAGGAAAAAAGATCAATCATCAATCAAAGGACTAGTACATATCAGTTGAGGAACCCAAAGCATTCAAGATGTACAATTGCGACCTTACAATGCAATCGTATTCTTGGGTCAAATTGCTATTATTGTTCCTTTATTCCTGATTTATCCACTAGGTCAGTCTCGTTGGTTCTAGATGTCACACTAAGAACTAGAAGGATCCATGCTCCTCAGCATAAAATTTTATGAATTCATGCCAAACATTTTGACAAAGCAAGCATAGTGTTACTAGAATCGCTTAAATTTTGGAGCTACACACCTTGGCAAGATTTTGTTGCAGTCTTCTGATATCAGCAGCACTAACACTCCTCAAATATGTTAAAAGCCATCCTGCTTTTAGAGCACCGCTAGAGGAAACAAATAACGCAATCTGCAAGAGGAAAAAGCCGTTTGAGCTCTAGGGCATTATAGGCACAGATTCTATAAGTTATCGTACAGGTTTTATTTTACGAGGGTAATAATTCACAACTTCAAGTTCATGAGATGAAGTGCTATTGATCATGCAGTCCATCACAAGTACAGTCTGTAGATGAAAGGAAAGAACTAACTGTTCATCCCATCCATCCATTTCTAGAAAACCTCTTCTTTTTTACACTTACAATGCACATTGTTTCATACTCTGTTGGATTAAAATTGTACGTGTGTATACATACTAAGAGCACAAAATATCAGTAAACTTTATTTTTAACCATTTGATGGTTTCAAATATCTGAACTTGACGCATTTAAAAAATAGAAAGATCAGGAAATTTTTCTATTAATTTTATCGTATCAAGTAGAAATGTTATTAATGTTATATTTAAAAGCATACAATAATTTGCAAATAATTTGGAGAAGTTTAGAATTTTTAATAACCCTTTTTTTTTTCTATTTTCATATGGTTGCACAAGGAAATCCACGTTCAAATTGATTTCTGTAACCAAAGATCATATCTATTACAGTATTCTTAACGTAATGGAATAGTCTCAAACTCATTTATGTTATTGAAGATTAAATATGTTACTCTTTTGGCTTCAAGGTAAAAAAATAGAAATAAAAATAAAAACACTCATAAATCAGTATACCTTTCTGTAATCAAGTATTCCTTCAAATGGAAGCTCCAATTCATCACTAACAATGACAGGAATGCAACCGCTGACAATGGCATCAAACAATCTAGCAGATGATGGAGTGTCGCCAGCAGGATTTAAGCAAAAGATAGACCTGAAGATAGAACAATCTTAAAATTGAAGTACCACCAAAAGAACATGCTGAAGAGATTAAAATATAAAACGTATAAATTACTTGCGCATTCCAGCCTGAGCTGCTGCTTTCCCTCCTTCTCCAGCTGTTCCCTCTTCTATTACTACACCATCTGCACCACTTAACTCTCCAACAAGTTTTGACCTTATCTTTCCTCCCTAAACGTAGAACAGTGTGTCAACTGATATGTTTTGAATTTTGATACTAGTATATTACCAAAGATGCATGGATATGTATGACACGAATATCGTGTGACTTCAAATTTTGGGGGGAAAAGAGAGTGAGATACATACGCAGCAATGACACATTTATTAAAATATCACTTCTTAAAAATACATAGGATTATTTTTATACATTTTCACGTAAAAAGTTTGTTTTATCATATGATATTTTTGCATGAAATATTAGAAAAAAAAGTAGAAGTGTCTTACCATACGTTTAAACAATTGCATAAAGTAGTAACAAGGGTAAACATTTCCACTAATATCTACACTTACAGCATTTCTTTTGAGCCGACCACGGAAAAAGAGCAGTTTGCTTCTCTCCGATTGCGCATCTGATAAGCATTTGCTGTCACACAAATCAACATTTGGAACATAGGGAAGGATAAGGTCCTTTTCCAAATAGACTTGCCCGGGCTTGTACCTAAAAATTTCAGTACGTGTCATTTAATCAAGCTTCCCAGAACATGCAGACATTCTATCAAGTTAAATAATATCTACCAGTTTCCTGTAGAGTCCATATCTGGTAGCAACCAAATGGCGTTCTTCATAGATTTTCTAACTGTCTTAAAAGACCATGGATGATGGACTGGAAGTATATGATCCCTTCCTTCCGATCGTTTCCATGCAGGTTGATCTGTCACCCACTTTAAAGCCTCCTGGATCCACATGTAAAAGTATATCAATGCTTTATGGAGCACAAACAAAACACTGTATTAAAGAACAAAAATAACATTCCGAAATGATTGTGCTCTAGGAAAATAGAATGATACAATTGAGCCTCAAAACTTTGCTTTGAGCCTCAAAACTTTGCTTTGAGCCTCATCATGCCAATTGTCAATATCTGTATAACTAAAAAACCGTGGAAGCTCACTCACACCCTGTAAAGTGCTTTACACTGTTGTTTCTCCAACAAGAAGAAGCTGATAGTTGTGAAGAAGGGGATATAAAAGAGGTCTGCTTCCTCCTGCCGATGAACCCTCACTACACCTTTTAAGAGCCTCTCTGACTCTGGAGCAATTAAATCGGCCCACAACCAGTAATCAATAGAATGCTACAAAACAGACCCATTTTACGGCATTTTAGTTTCGACAAATAAAAGCATGTAATGTAATTCAGAATGAAATACTTAAGTATATAAAAAATTCCAACTACTTCTATACACACTCAAGAAATAAGCCACCAGGTTACTTCTATATGACTTTGCCCGTTCCTTCAGAATATCAACAAGCAACAAGATTAGCATTTCAAATATGAAAAATGCCATAAAAATAATACCCCACTTTAAGACAGAAGAACGCATGACCCGTTTTACGTTTTCCGGAAATTTTTTTAATAATTCAACTTTTAAAACAATGGGAAGTCCATAATTTACATCAACTAAAAAAATGATATAAACGCCGTTTTCAGTCTTTGTTAGAAATCCGATTCAAACTACTCCACTTGCTAAGAATACTATATAAAAGATTGAATCTAATCTATGGTTAGTAAAATTTTGAGTTGATATTAGAGCATCGTGAGTTCAGATCTGCACTGTCATTTCCTCTCAATTAATATTGACAATCAATCAGCAACGTCGTTTTCTCTCAATTAACACTGAAAATCACTCAGTATAGTGTTAATTTTCGAAGCCAAAAGTGAAGTGATTGGAAAAAATACAAACTAACACAATCGAGTACCTGTTCAATAAGGCGGTGCACGGGGCTGCCATTGGAGGTGAGATTAGAGGTCTCTCTGTAGGTATTCCTAAACAACCATAGCAAATCGTATGTAAACTTCCACGGCATATCATAAACATAAACTCGAACAGGCGATCCCAAAGGATAATAAGGATCTCCAACCGCCCGCCCCATTTCTGCCTCAGAAATTGCCTCATCGAGCCTCCTCGGCGCGTCTTCAACATCTCCGTCCTCAGGAGCCGTGTCATCGCGAAGCGGAGGAGATTTTGGAGCCTTGTAAGCAAGGAAATCTTCGAGTGAGGTGACGAACGAAGTCTCGGGGGGTTTGTGAGACGAAATTGGATCGCGGAAAGGGGGCGGATTGGGATTCGAAGGGGAGAGAGATACGAGGATGAAGAGAACGGAAATGGCGAGAAGAGAGAGAGTGAAGAGTAGAAGTGGAGATCGGTTGGATCTTTGGATGTGGGCGGACATGGAAATGGACATTGATGAAGAAGATCCCAAGTTCCTCCCTCGCATGGCGCGGCGCTGCCCTTCAACTTCCAAAATTCTGTTTGCTTAGCGCTGATGTGAAATTGCTCCAATTCATTTATCCCCAATTGGCCAATGCTCAACAATGAATGTCAGTTTTTTTCACTTATTTTCAAGTTAAAATTGTTGGGAATTATATATATATATATATTATTTTTTAAATGAATGGTTGGTCATATATTTGAACCTTACCAAACGTCTTATTCATTCGAATATGAGTCTCACAATGTTAGTTACAGTGTTGAGTGGTTGTGGACATCCTCTGAAAAATAGAGATCCAATTGACAAAGTCACACGACATTGATTCTGTGCTATTAAAAATAGAAAAAGAATATAAATGAAATTATATATAATTGAGACTAGTTTAACCTAATTTCTCTATTAGGCTCGACTTACCAATGGTGCAAACCACCTGAACTAAACTGGCACAATTATACCCACAAATTTGAAAGAGTGAGGAGAGAGAAAATGGAGATGGAGCCCATGTGAGAGAAGGCTTTAAGGTAGGGTGTGATAATATTTGTTCAATTTCTATTTTTCTTTTTCTTTTTCTTGGGTTAAATTACCTATTTAGTTTTCACTATACTCGTAAATTGTTGAATTAGTGTAGATTTGTTTCATTTTTACTCAATGATTTAATTTTAACCTTAATTGTCCGGTTCTGCTATATAATTAAAAATTGGCATGTTGATAGTGCAATTATCTTTCTTTTACCCTTAAAAAAACTGTTAAATGCTAGAAGCCTACCAAATTAACTTGTCCTGTGTAAAATAGATGCAATTTTAAAGTTTTATTAATTATCAAATTTATAACCGATTATTTTTATTTCAATTTTTTGAGTTTAACATACATGATAAAAATTTGAATATCCAACCTTTTAATCGAAGATATATGTAAATGCAAATTATACGAGGACTTGCTAATTCTAATCAATTATTAGTAGTAATTCAAAGTAATTTTTCTCACTTTTATTACCCTTTTCTAAGTTTCTGTCTTTTCTCGTTGTCACAAAAACAGACTTAAATATCCTACCAAATGAAGATTTTAGTTACAAACAATTAATACCTACTTCCAAACGAACCCTAAAGTGAATACAAACTTGTATTATTCATAAATGATAAATCTCATCATGTGTATATATACACACCCACACACCATCATATGTTACCAAATCCAAACATCAAAAGCTTAGAAATGTGCAGAAAGTTAATGTAGAAGTTACAACAGACATCTAAACATGTAGTGTATGGAGAACTGTTACATAAAGATCTTTTAACATCAAATAAATCTTTCTAAATTGACATATTGTGATGACAATCATCTGTTCAAACCAAGCTCAAAAGGAAATGAGATCATTATCTTTTGATGAATCATTCTTCTTCGGTTCGCGTCCCCGATCAGATGTACTTCCACCTTTCTTGCCAAATATCATCTCATCAAGATCATCCATCATGTCGTCGCTGCTTCCACCGAGAGATCTACCGCGAGAGGTGGTGGATTTTCTAACCAGGGCGTCTTCCTTGGTATGATGGGAGGGAGATTCATCGGGTTCCACTGCGACTGGTATCATCGCAGGTTCTGGTTCAGGTGGAACAGTTGAGGGCTTCTTCAGATCTTCATACTTGGAAAGCACTTTTTGAATCTCATCATTCACATTCAATGCCTCAAAAAGTAGGGCCTCATTGTCCCCAACCGTCTCGATAATTCTTTGGATGGTTGATTGTGACTGACGACATTGTAGTAAGAGTGTGCTGGTCAAATCATCCTGTAAAGGGAGAGAACAATGTAGGATTATTCTATAATCGCGATCAAATAGAAAAATAATCAGCTTCAACATCTGCCAGGTTTAATGATGTCTCGAGATCACGAATTTCAATATTACTTACCTCGACAACGAGGAGGAGAATCCCACGGGTCATAGGTACTCTTTTAATGGGAAATTGAAGCATCAATGCAAAAATTAGAAGTCCCAAGTCCTAATGAACTAATAAAGCATATAATCTGATCTCTACTCGTAAGTCCAATTTCACAACATTTCTAGCAATTGTGATAATCATGAGAAGCAGAGCATTTCCTAAATCCCACGTTAATAAATAGCCAAAGCGAACTAGAAAATAAATATTCTCTAACACCCTGTTCCAATAATGATACTCAATGAGAGATTCTCGAGTTCAAACTCGGATTTTGAAGTTGCCTATAGTCCTCAGTTCAGTTGACCAACCTCAATTTTCAAACACCTGTAACCTAAAATTTAAAGAGTGGCAAAATTCAAATTTTAAATTTTAAAGAAAAAAGTAAAAAAAAAAAAAGTTTTAGACAGCCACTAGGACCAAATTGGCAGTATTGGTTATATCAAAGGCAGTTACAAGTTCCAAATTAATAATTTTTTAAGCTTCAACCAATTACAATAAATAGATGAGGTGTTTGTACTTCATACATGTATCTTTAACGAGTCCCAATCATTAGGTACTCGACCATGTAGAGAATTCATGTTTCATACCAGCTTGCATTAGTCGCCTAATTTTAAATGAATGCCAGATCATGACCAGTTCCAAGTATCTATTTGTATCGTATTGCTTAAAAGTTCAAGGTATATATATATAGAGAGAAAGAGAGAGCATGCATGCTCAGGACGCTATTAAAGAGATGCATTACCTCCGAAGTATCCTGAGGGGGTGATGAAGATAAAACTGTTGAAAGAAGCTCAATGCTGTTCCTTGCAACATCGAATGCCTCCTTTGTTTCTTCAGCTGTGAAGGTTTGCACAGGAATATCATGATGAATCTGTTCGGGATAAGGGTAACTGGCCTCCGCCTCCGAGGCTGCAATTGTGCGAGGAGGAGTGAAAATGGGTGCAAGACTCTCATTGTCCCGACCAGGGAACCGAATGCCTCTTGATTTTAAACTCTGATAGATGCAAACAAAAGAAAATATAATATTTAATACATTTGCTGCCCCCTCAATCCACAGGGCAAGCATCTAAAAGAAAACTACCAAAATAAAGTCCCAAATTACTAATCTCCAAGATTTCTTACATGGCAGAAAAGGTCCAAAATTTGAAAATTCCATGCTTCCATATTATTAAAAATGGGCATTAAAGATTCGAGGGTGGCAGGTTTTAGTGCTAAGTTATTGTTAATTGATGAGTGGACATCAATGATCCTGGAAAATTAACTTTAAAAGGATATTTGTGGTTCGAAGTGTTTAGAAAAGAAAGAAACAAAGAGGTGAGAAAAAAGACCGTTAAGATTTAATAGTGTAAGAGTTCCATTGGCAACCAAATGTAGTAGCATAGGCAGTTAACACATGAGATTAGTTAAGGTGTGCGCAACCTGACAGTACCAAAAAAAAAAAGGGAAAAAAAAAGTTAACAAAAGGATGTTTAGGACTTCTTATTTTTAAAGAATACATCTGATGAATCGGATTCATGAATGGGGAGTTGATGAGAAGGAGATAACAACTAATCTGAGTCTTTGAACTGAGAATTAACATATCTAGAAACTCAAACTTTCACTTAAATTTCCTTGTGTAAATAAAACTGCATTTTAGCATGTGGAAACAATCTTAATTCAGCAAAAATAATAAAAACTAAATAATTACATTTCTTCCTCTCAAAATAAAACTAATCAGTAACAGGTCACTAAGAACCAGCTTCACAGTTTTTGTATGAAAAGAACACAAGTTTATGAAAGATAAAACAAAAAATAATAGTAACAATACAACATGCCAAAATGGGGAACCCATATTCCTGCGTCCAGCATGCTGCCATAACCAAGGGATAACATACCAGATATTTTCCTAATACAGAACTAAGGATTGCCCATGCAAAATCCTGTAAGCTCAATCTGTCCTGCATAAACAGTAGTTTATTTACTGCAGGGTTATTTTTAGGGAGGAGATCTAACCAATACTTTAACTAATTCCTAAAGCCCACGGTTAATTGCCAACAACCCATTAAAGCCAATGGCTATTTACCATAAGTAGTTGGTTGTTTGTTATTTCTTAACAGCATATTTAAAGCCAACGGCTAGTTTAGCTAGGAAAACAAATCATTTATGCCTTCATCATTGGTATTCTTTGGGGCCAATACGACAATGTGTAATGGGGGAGAGTAGAACTTGGCACCAAATCAATGTGGTGCTGTATGTAACACAATGGGGGTGAATCGCTAGGTGTCATCATCAGCTCCTTGAATTCATTCAAGAGTACGTAAATATCAGGGTCTTGTTCTTTTATAGGTGTAAGATCCATATCTCCTTTAATAATCACAGCCCAAAGCATTCATCATCTTTCTCGACAAAAGATTTGCCTTGAAGATTGTGAAGGGGTGGTTTTTCCGATGTTTGGAGCTCTTTTCTGTTTTTGTGTCCTTGGCCATGATTTATGGAAGAAGAACAATCTTTGTGGCGAGCCAATAGAATTCATAAGTGTACTCTCTACCACTATGAATATATTGAAGGTGATATTGCCAAGGGCGTCCAAGAAGGATGTGACATTCATCCACACCCAAGACGTCGCAAACAATTTGATTCTTGTAAGGATTGCCAATGGATAGATGAACTGTACAAATCGAGGAGATGTGCCTCATCCCCTTTTTAATCCAAATAACAGTGTTAGGACTTGGGTGAGGATCGATTATGAGGTTTAATGCTGTCACCAATTTCTTGAAAACAATATTTTCATTGTTGCCACTGTCAATGATAACGTTGTATACTTTTTCATTGACAGTACACCTTGTGTGGCATTGAGGATAGGACTCTGAATAATGCAAGAAACTTACTCTCCTTCATCTGGTTCAATATAAGCCACATCTTCGTCTGGATCTTCATTGTCCTCTTAATTTCATTGTTTTCATCATCCAAAATTGCCATAGTTCGACGTTGTGGGCATTCATTCGAGAGATACCCCCAAAGGCCCAAAGACCACATTGAAAACACTTACCAAATGTTGGTCCATTGTAAGGATTGGCGTATTTCCAATGTCAGTAGTCTTTGGATCCAAATTGTTTTAGATTGGTTGGTTTTCTTTTTGTTTTAATTTGGAAGAACTGCCACCTGAAAGTTCTTAGGAGGATTGAAGAGGGCATTTTTGTATGTTGTATTCTAGGAATCCCAATTATTGCGCCTTGTTAATTGTTTAAAGGTGGATCACACTGACCCTCAATCTTGGTTGCCCAAGTAATTGCATCCCGAAGGTTTAATATTGGTTGAAGATCAACTTTGGAACAAAATATCTTGTCTTAAGCCCACCACATACCTTGCAATTTGATGGTTTTCACTCTCTGCCAGGCTGTTTCTAGCACTTAAGCGATGAAATTCTTCAGAGTAATTTGCCACAGATCTTGAGCCTGGTTGACAATGATGGTAGTATTGGTAGTAAAGCATTTGTTCGTAGTCCAGAGGTAGGAACCTTTCCCTCATTAGTTTCTACATTTGATTCCATGTTCGGATTGGTCTTTTACAATATGTTCCTCGGTTTCCTCACAATTTTTCCCACCATTCTGAGGCTACTACAGTTTTTTTATGACCCGAAATCAATAGCCTTTTAGCTTTCACCCCTATAACTGGGGGCAGCATGCCGAGGCTCCTACAGTTAATTCGAGTGCACCAAATTTTACCTTCTTCTCCTCTCCTCAAGCGTATTCATATGATCGAAGAAGTTATCTATATTCTTGATCTAATCAAGAATATGTTCAACATCAAGCATCCATTAAAACTTGGTAGATCAATTTTCATCATGTATCTTGGTTTTCTTAATTGTAATAACGTTCTCCATGTCACCTATTTTGTTGATTTGCATCAAACAGAGTCTTGAATCATTTGTCCTCAGAAAATGCGTTTCTTGATGTCCATAAGGAGTAATAACATTTCTGCAAATGTCCATTTGCTGTCTTCTTTGTTCTTGCAGTCTTCTTGCCTGAGGAATGGGTTGTTCTTTTTGTTTGTTTTTTTAACAAAAAAAAACTTTTCAAGATTTCTATTTTGCGCTTCAGTTTCCCTTTGTTCTTGGTGATTGTTTGGATTTTGTTGGTTGAGAGTGAATTGTTCTAGTTGTCTAGAAGTTTCTGAATACTCCAATGTTTTTAATTTTCATGAATTCCTTCGATAGAATGCTCCACCAACAGCAAGGATTGAGTGGAAGTTTTTGGAGAAGGAACTTCAGATTGGGACGAGGAATCCAAACCAGGATGAACCGCATCAAGACCGGTGTGGGGGGCAGATTTTTTTCCCTGCCATCAGGCCCTTTGTCGAGGGTGCTCTGATGCCAACGTGAAAGATTTATTGAGAGTATGCTTGGAAAGTGTGCTCCTATCCTAGGTGATGCACAAGAATAGATAGGACTTCCTCCTGTCAACTGTGACTTTGGGAGATTATATGTTGATCCATCCCACTTCAACTGGTATTTGGTATCAGAGCTAAAGGTAACATGTTCAAGTCGCCTTGCTTAACCCAGGAGGGAATTTTTCTAAAGCAGACGAAAATGTGGATGCCCCCATTTGAACATGCAAATGAGCCTGTGGATTTGTAAGGAATTCCTCCAAGATACTGATCCAAAAATAGTAGGTTTAGACAGTGCGCTCTAGAGTTTAGTCCTATGGGAATAGATTATAATTTTCTATCCATTACGGCTTTTAGGAGAACTGTTCATCTATCCTTTTATTCTATGCTTCTCACAAAATGAGACAAACATCCATATCAAAAACATCACAAATAATTGACCAATCTAAAGGTTGGTAAGAAAACGTGCTGTGAAGATTTTAGCAACAATTGCTTCAGTTCCCTTTCCCAATCCTAATTCAATGAGGACTCACAATATGGTTTAGAGTTCAAGTTCAAGATCTTATAGAAGACCATAGATCCCATGTTGTCCTAAATAATATTCTAACATCATCCATAGAAGAGGCACTTAGTTTCACCATTTGATCTTCCAAAACAAATGAATTTTATGTTTGAATATTGTCATATGTTGAGAAATCCACCTTACTCAATACTCTAATGGGTTCAAAGGAGGTGGTCAATGTTTGAGGCAAAAGTTTTTGTAAAAAATAGTAATAATAATAAATTGGAATCAACCTTCACTCTTTTTCTTTTTCCTCTTTTTGACAAACCTTATGAAGATAATAGATATACAACCGGGCAATTTAGAAAAATACAAATAAGGTGCCCAAACCCAGAGGAGCCAAGACMAAAACAGAAACCATCTTCACTCAATTATCTTCTGGTTCAAAGGAGGTGGTCTATTTATTTCAAATGTTGCAAAGTTTTTCAATTGATAATTGAGAAGTTACAAAGATAATAACAAAAAACTCCCTTTAGGGATAAAGCTCATAAGCCCCAATTAAACAACTCAAAACCTAGTGGAGGAATTAAAAGAAAGCCTCCCAACTAAGAAAAGTGACATTTGGAGAATAATTACAGAAAGTTCTAGAAGCTTTATATATTTTGCAAGATACACCTCTCATTCCACTACTTAATGGAATTTACTTCAAGAATTCCTTGGTTTATTTCAAAATAAATTCCAAATGATTGCTTTAAAAGCGTTTACCAATAACAACTTGGGTTAACTTTTAAATTTTACTCCACATGTCTTAGAAACATTTACCTCGATTCACTTCCATATAAATTCATTTACGGTTGTTTATCAAGATTCAAAACTTTAATTTAATTATACATGCCTAACTCAAAATTTATATGGTACTTCTCTTAGAGTCGGCCCATTCACTCGATGGGATCATAAGTTGTAATGATCTTTGAACAGTGTTGGCTAACTGTTGAATTACGGCCATAAATAAATGCATCATCAAACACTACTCTTCCAACTGAATATTTGTCTTCCAAGTATAAAATTCTAAATTCTCACCACTAATGGAATTCATGTTGCAACCCAACATAAGGTTCCTCTGCCTGCAAACTATTACTTTCCAATCCAAAAGAAGTTTCTCTGAAAACCCCAGTTGAGATAAAAATTTCCTTCCCAGATTATTTCAGATTTTTTATTATTGAAGTAAATAACAGCACCCTTCCACATGAACAACTTTAAGTGCGAAGACTGAACTTCTTATTTGTGCACTCAACCAAACCACTCCACATGTACAATTTCCTATTTGTAGCCAAATCACTTCACATGTACAACTTTAAGTATGAAGTACTAGCTTCTGATTTGTGCAGTCAGCCAAACCACTCAAAGTCAATTCATATGACATATACCACAAATACCCTCTACTCTCACGTCATATAAGTGATTGCCATATCTATACATTCTGAGGGGATGACTAGATTAAAAAATAAAATAACATCATATACTGAGAATTTCAAAATCTCCTTTTGGAACAAAAGTCCAGTCTTCGGAATAATGTTGTCTTGGGAGCTCCACTCTTTAGATAATGTTGTTTTGGGGACTCCACATTTATAAATTGGAGCATGAGGTTAGAGATGCAATTTAGAATCGTTACGAAAATTTTGTTTTGTCTGATAAGAGGTTGCATTTGGTGGCCTTTGTCATACCTTCCTCGGGTTCTTCTCCTTCCATTTCTCTCGGTTTTCGTCGTCCTTTGTTGGATAAGGAGAAGGCGGAAGTGATAGCCTTTCTTACCCTCTTGTGTAACTATCAGTTGTGTTCGAGGAGGAGGGCCATCCGTTTATGGACCCCCAATCCTTAAAGGGGTTTCTCGTGTATCTCTTTATTCCAAATTTTATGTGTCCCTTCGTCCCCTCCTGATGCTCCTTCTTTCTCCCACTTATGGAAGGCTAAGACCCAAGGCAGTTAAATTCTTTGCATGACAAGTCTTGCTCGGGAGAGTTAACACCTTAGATGGTGTTCAGAAGACAGTCCTCTTTTGTCCTGGGCCTGCAGTGGTGGTGTCTGTGCAAGCATGCATTAGAGGGCTTTGACCATATCTTGAGAAGTTGTCCTTATTCAGGCTTTATAGATTCGATTTGTGGAGACCTTTGGGGTTTCTGGGATGTGAAATAGAGACTATTGTGCCATGATGGAAGAGATTCTTTTGAATCCTCCCTTTCGAGATAAGGGGCTTATTCTGTGGCATGCGTGTTTGTTTGCTATTGTATGGGTATTTTGCTTGGGAGGAATGGTAGAATCTTTAGAGGGGTGGAGAGATCCTGGGAAGAGATTTGGGATGTGGTTGGGTTCCATTCTTCCCTTTGAGCAACTATCTCTAAGTCATTTTGTAATTATTAGTTAGGCCTTATTTTTTTGGAATAGAGTCATTTCCTTAGTTAGTTTTAAGGACTCCTTTTGTGAGACTAGTTTTTTGTAAGCCCATATTGTTATTTCATGTTTYTTAATCAAAGTTTGGTTTTTCATTTTTTTTTAGATGTTCTTTCTATCTCCATAAAATTCTCAGTTTCTCGTTCCAATTTGTTCAATTTTGGTTGCGTTGCAAACAGCCTGCAAGCTTTTCTATATAATAACAAAAAGCAATTTTTTTTATTGTCCCACATACTTCATATGTCCAAGCGTTAAACACAGCTTGTTGCTAAATTACTATAATTTGACACAAATTTCTTAAATCATATCCGTAATATATGCATAGTATCCATCATTCTATGTGTAAACTTAGAAAATGGTGATGCCAGCGGATGAAAGATTCCTTGTAAGAAAAAAAGGGGGAGAAAAAAAAAATCTCTCTGAACTAATAAATCCACTGAGATTATGTTAAAACTCTTAAATATTTTTATAAGCAATTCCAGATATTTGGCAAAGAAGGAGGGTACTAAAATATATGGATACCTTGTACGTTTCTTCATAAACAGGCAAATAGCGAAGCTCACTAGTTGACTCTCCCCAGGCTTCAATTAAAATTAATGCCTTGTTCCGATTATTAACAACAGTTTGTGGATCCTCAATTAACTTCACCATCTCATCGAGAACTCTCTCAGCTGCCACCTCGGAGAAAGACTTCTCACAATTTTTAACACACGTCTCCAGCAGCACCAGTGCCAAATACTGAATCCTGGGGTTTTTTATCATTATTCGTTTTTTAATCCCCCGAATCAACTCTATGCTGTTGATTTTTTCAGAATTAATCATGTCACAGATTTCAAGATTCAGGGCCCAATCCGGCTCTTCCAGGTTTTCTGATGTGGCATCCTCAGCAAGCTTATCACCCTGGTTCGGACCTTGAAAGAGTTCCTTCATTTTGAAACTCATAGAGCTGACACCGGCACTCATCTTTCGGCTCATCTCCGTCCCACTAATCTTTAGGCGTTCACCCAAGGCATTTACTTTATCCATCAAATTGTCACTCATCTTTGCTACTGAACAAAATCAAGACAAATCCTAAAGAGAATCCCTGTAAACACACGAACTCCTGAAAAGTCAGAAGAAGTGATGTTTCAAAGTTCTGTTAAGAAAAATGTCAAAATAACAAATGCAGCATTTTAAACCAGAGGGAAATTGTGGTGATCAGAACATACAACAAGGAACAAATATCAAATGATAGTCATTTTATTGGCAAACCGAATTAAGTATACAGGTGTAATCTCAAAACTTCAGAGACCCAGATCTAGAAAACCTAGAATCAAGCAGTTGAGAGCACATCATCCTGTTTTGATCATTGAAGTAGCTCAAATTATTGTTACAAAACCATTAAAAATCTCTAAACCAACCATCCAAAATTGAAAATCAAACGTTTCTGATCTTACTTCTAAGAAACCAAAAATTTTATGCAGAAGAGCCACATTTGCATGTTTCTATGCAGAGTGCCTCAAAACCCAAATACGATAAAACTCCCCTCACCTCATAGAAACTAAAGAAGTCAAAAAGGTAGGAAACAAGGTATGCACAAGAAGTCATCAAAAACCCATTTCAATCCCCAAAATCCAAACAGATTTTCAACGGCTCTTGTCCAATCATAATCATCCAACAAATATACATATAAGAATCTCCCATTAGATGAGGAAAGAAAATCATAACGGCCCTTTTTCTCATACGGCAATCCAACACCCAACTCCGACTGCCAAATTCTCACATATTATCACGGAAGCAGAAAACCCCGATGGAATAAACACTAAAATTCAATTCAATTCAATTCAATTCAACGTATGCCTCACCTACCCTTCCCCCGTAACTTTACCCGCAATCGAGCGGAGTCAAACAAGCGATCAGATCAACAATCCCCCAAAAACACATACGATTTCTTGAATTGACCAAATTCTAGGGCAAATCAGAAGAAACAATTGGAAAAAGGAATTGCGGAGAGAAGGAGAAAAAGTACCTCTGAAGTTTGGTTGTTGAGACGACGGTGCAACGACTCCGGAGTGAAGCTTTCTTTTTCAGTCTCTCTCGCTTGCGTCGTCAACGGTTCATAAAAATTTCCTTTTTTCTCTCTGTTTTTTTTGGAAAAATAAATATTTTATTTTATTTTAATTTTTCACGATAATTTCAATTTATACTTTATATTAATTGCGTGAAAAATCAAAGTATGGTACATTTCTTATGATTGGCCGGTCGGTCGGATTATTTGAACGTATTTTTTCCTTTTTGTTTTTTGTTGGTTGGATAACCGACCATCTAAATTAAGCTTAATTAGTTAACTCTAAATTTTCAGTTTAGCTGTAAACTTTAAATTTAGATGAATGTTGCCATTTCTACCGTCTATTCAATTTTTATTAATTTACTCACTAATTTTAACAACAAAAAACATAGACTATCCCAAGATTTACTAATTTCATAAAAATCATGTTTTGGATAAAATTGACAAATAAATAACTCTTTTCGAGCTTACAAATTTCAACCGAACAAAATCATTATAATGCCGTTTTTGTATCAATTCTATCGTTTTTCATGTAAAAAATGTGTTTTATAATTCATTTGACACGTTTTAGATTACTTTTTTCAACAAATTCTCAAATTAAAACCTATCATATTGTGTAAATTACACTACTTTATAAGGTTTAGAAGAAATATTGTAACATTTATAAAGTTTAAGGTACAATTTATTAAAATAAAAAATTTATGGTTGAAATTGATTATCTAGTTAGATTTGGGATTAAAATTAATCTTTCGTGTTAAAATTATGTTAGCTTTTTCATAATTTATTTAGTATGTATTTAAATTTTTTTTTTTAAGAATGGATTTGAATTGATAGCTAAATTTCATAAACAAAAACTAGCTTTTGTATTTTTTTTTTTCAAAAGTTATTTTGATTTTAAAAAGTAGATAATAAATAAATAAATACATTGATAAATGTAGTATTTCTATGAATATTTTCCATCAGCAACTTAGGTGGGGAATATGAGAATTTTTGTCAACCTCATAAAGTTCACTCACTTTAATACATCATATCAACTAGATGTAACTCCAACATATGCTTACATTTAGTATACGAATTGGAAGTTGTGTAACTCATTGTTAAAGTAGAATAATTAATTTCAAAAATTAAAAACACACTGTTTATAAAAATGGACGATATAAGTAGCGATTCTGTCATTAAATATTTTAAAACTCATTTTAACACAAAATAGAGAGAAATGGAAACCATCAAAAGGCACTTGCATACTAGATGAACATTAGTTTTTTATGGAAGTGAACTAGATGGATGTTCGCATTAGTGGTTGAAGTACTATGAGAGAAAGTCATAGCCACAATCTAGAACATGCATGAAGTGAGCAATTTTATAGCATGAGCTTTAATTCATCCCTAAACCATGATTAACAAAAAACTATATGCTCTCTATTGTTTGACGGAATGAATAGGTGGACCGAGACTCGAAATTGGGGAGACATTAATGTAAATGTGGTGTAGTGTTGATTCGCTCTTGCTTCAGTACTGATGTACGTTAAAAAGTTAATGCAGTTAATAGGACCAGTAGAGCCAGTATATGCCACTACTATGATCGAGAGCATCATCATCACATTAGAAGAGTGTCTTCGACCCTTATATGTAGAAATCGACTCTAAAGTGATTTGGAAACTGATTTACAGAGAGAGGATTTTACAAATGTGAAACACAACTGATAATCGATAAAATAAATGAAAAGTTAAAGTAGGAAACAATCGAATGATTCACATTCACCTTGTGAAGCTGTGATGAAGTCAAGAACGTTTCAGTAGTAGATGCAAAGAGAAATCACTTCTAAAAAATAAAAGGACATCCCTCCTTTGGACTCTTTAGACTTTAGAGAAAGATATTTCTCCCAATAAAGAGGAATTTTATTAATATGCTTTTATTTCTTTCAATATTTTATGTTTGTATTAAGGGAAAAAAAACTTAGATCCGTAAGTTGATGTAATGTAAACATGTAGTTATGTAAGTGACATCGTTTGAGTGGGAAGGTCAGAACGAACATAGATGAACAATAATTGGTATATATCTTAAACCAATGGGTCATGAGCTCGATCCCCTATTCCCTGTATTTTAGAAAAACAAAATTTCTTGGACGGAGAATATATCTCAATATGTGCCAACATCGGAAAATTAGTGGTAATACACGTACTCGAGTCACCCGAGTCCATGTCATTTATTTGTCAAACAATTAAGACATAATAGTCATAGTCTTTTCTTTTATTATCTTTACTTCGATCTCAAAACATATTAAGATTTTATTTGGTTATTTGAATAAAGTTCTCTCTCTCTTTTATTTATTTATATAACAAAGTTATTAGAATATTCTCCACCAATTAAAAGAATAATATTCTTCACACCATCCTCCCATCCCCTTAATTTCGCTACAAAGGTTATATGCTATAGCCGTGGAAGAAAATTAATTTATTTCCTTCCCTTAAAATCCCTACTATTTAATTAATATAAATAATTTATTGTTCGGACATTATTCAATATATTTCAATTCTTAGGTTTATTGGTCCAAAGAGATAAATCTTGATAAATACTAAATCATCTTTTATGTCCGTGTATATAACTTAATCGTGAAATTTTTAAAATAGTCATTACTGTTTATTTTTATTATCTACGACAAATAAAAAAACGACAAGATCTAAAATTTTACATTCTCTTCTTATTGAGGTCTATTCTGTTTGACTATTCCAAATAATATAAGTTGACAAATTATTTAATGTTAATTAACGTCGATTTGGTTAGCAACCTTTTAAAATAAGTCGCTGAATAACTAATATGTATATATATATAACTATTTATAAAATTTCTTTATTTATTAATTTATTCTTACAAATATTGACTTCTTGGTGCTACGTTAGGCATTCATTTGGATTAGGTAAAGACATTTCGATGCTATAACTATGCGATTTTTTTGTAGTACATGCATATTTCTTGTTGAGAATGATCACTAGCAACGAAATGATCGAACAATAAACTAACAAATAAATATAACATGCTTCTTCCCTAAAAGAAATAAAAAAAAATAATAATAAAACATGTCATGACATTGGAGATGCGTAAAATCAAGAAGTATTGAACGAAACAAGCGAAATACATATTAAATTGATTTTCTTAAAGCATATTCACTCATTTTCTTTTATTTTGCTAGTATTTTCTCTTGTGTCATCAATAGCCGGATTGAATAAAGTTCCCCTTTAGTTTTTTTTTTCCTTTTTATATATATAACATAACTATAAATACATTTTTTTCTTCTTATTTTGTCAAACAACTGGACTTGGACAGGAATTTTTTTTCTTTCCGAGTACAGTACTTGGACAGCTGTACTTTAATTATTTCAATATATTTATCGCCGATTGAGAAAAAAGAAAAAAAGGGAAAAAAGAAAAAGAAAATTGTTAGACTCAGTCAGCCTGGAGGGGCAATCTAGTAATTATCCGCTTCAAGACGTCAATGATCGTCGACGGCTTCAAAAGAGGCGCTTCCTTACACTTTTCTTCAGTTCTCCTCCGGTTTCATCCGCGTCTCGCGTCTGAACCTCCGCCGAAGATTTAGTTTTCCGTGTTCTTCACCTGAGATTCCACTTCAATTTCATAATCTTCCACTGGTTTTTCTTCCTCTTCTCTCTCTCTGTGGCGCCATGGACTGAGGCGAGGAGTTCTGTTGTGGTGAGTCTCTTTCGTTGACTAGCTCACGCACACGCACACGCACACTGGCCATCCAATCTCAGTTTCTGGGTTGATTAATTGTATGTCGATTGGTTAGAGCCTATCTGTTGCGTGAATTGGATGGTGGAGCTTAGGAATGGGGGATTTTGTTTTCGCTTGCTTGAAATGCATGAATTTGTTGAATTGACTGTTCCAGTAATATCAGATGACATTGGGAGGGCTGGTGTGGGATCTGAACGGACTAGAAGCAAGGAATTAATTGTGTTTTTGAGCTTTTAGTTTCTGGAGGGTTGGCTGATTTTTTGTTGCTTCTTATGTAGAATATCATTTGTTATCTTGATAAAACGGCCTGGGAAACCAGGAGGCCTAGAATTGGGTATTTGGAAATGGTTTGTCTTTCAGCGTTCGTTGAGAGTCCCATGGTCAAGATCTTAGTTCTTTTGTTTTTACGTGTGATAAAAAGTAGTAAAGAGGTGATGGGTATGGAAGTACTTATTCTAGCGTGCAAAATGTATCGATCTAATCGGTTGTAGTGTAACTTGTAAGTTGTGGGTTTTACCTTTATAGAAAATTGAAGTACAATTTGGAAGCGAACTGGTTGGGGGTGTGGAGTGCTTAGGAGAATTGCTGATTATCATCAAATAAGATACGGCAGACAATTTATTATATCTGGCATGGGAAATTCCTTTGTTAGATGTTATTATTGTTCCAACTTTGTTCGTCACTCTAGTGTATTGATCATTTTTTTGATAGCCTGTATTTACATGTATTACTTATAAGTTTTTGAAATTGTAGTTTTGCATTCTTTTTGCTAATGTGAATGATATGCAACTTAACATGTTTTTCTGCATGAATTCAGATGCTTAAAGAAAATGTTTGATTGTGGTTACAAGTCACAACTGATGGGTGGTCAGCGAGAAAAGTTTGTGAGGTAAAGTGGTTCTTACTTTATTATACTATACTATTTCCCCCTAATTGGTGAAGATGGTTAACAGCGTATTCCCTGTGGTCATGCAAGCCTTTTAAATTGTTAAAAAATCTACAAGTTTGGAGTTTAGCCTACTCTGCTTTGCAATAGCCAAGTTCAAATCTTCGCGTTGGTGTGTTCTTTCCGATCTCTTCTCCTCCTACTTTCCTAGTATGCTTTGTTCAAATTGGGAGGCATTTATAACTCCCCTTTAGTGGTTCTCTTTGTTTTTGTGGATTTTATTTTATTTTTTCG